TGATGTGACAATAACTATCAAAGCTGGAAAAATAGGCTGCTTTTACAACATGACCATGGTTTTGCTCCACGAAGCAGGCTAAGAGCAATAATAGCAATAGCAATAATAGTACTCACTTATGGGGAAATACGGTATTTCCTATTCAAATTAATTACTACTTGCTATTTTGTTTTTACCGCATGAGCAGTTAGTTTAATGGTTTAAAATGGACGCTGTTGGCGCAATTCCGAATTTAAGACGAGTATGGTGTATGCAAGTCCGATAGCTGACTCTCATAGAGTGTCGCTAAAATATGCAGCGTATAATTTTAAATCATTGAGATAGTTTGAACAAAATCCGGAAAAAACTGAAAGTTCACTGAGATGAAACAGAACTGGACTTAGTAGGAATAATCAACGGAATTTCACTATTTGTTAGTAAAAAACGGGTGAATCTGTTTTTTAGTATATTCCATTGAAGTAGCAAAGATGTGCATAGTCTTAGACGGATTCCCATTTGGAGTCTGATGAGAGCGAAATACTATATTCCTAATTGCAATCAAAGAGCTTGGGCTCAAATCAAAGACATAATCGGACTATTCTTATTTCTCCGAGCTCCAACCATGCCAAGCTGCCCACACATCTAAAATATAAACAAGCGGTTGTCCTGTAATGCGAACGCATAAATGGAATCAATGCAATTTGGCATTGAGTAGACAGTGCTGGTTAGAAAATCTCACGGTAAGGATTGACGTTGTGTTCTTTTCCTGTGCAAGCCAAATCCATCACAAATAGGCAAACAATATTTGATGACATGTAAGCTAGCTTGAAAAAGGTCACCTCTATGTTCATTGCCTCCTCTTCGTTCACTTGTGCTGCATGGAAAGTTATATCTGACTGATTTATAACACGAGGAATTTGGATGAATAGGGTTTGCCTTCGATCAAATTGTCTACCTACCAGTTGATTGTAGAATGTGCCACGATATCTGTCAGAAATAGAGTTGGCTTGGCAAATTGCTGGGCTGGATGCAAATATTTCCATGCACTGGGTAATTTTAATGGGCTATATTCCACTCTTTTTTTCCACAGGATAGCCTCTGAATAACACTTGAGGCCTAGGTAATACTAAGGGACCTAGATGAAGAAGTGGATGCATTTGCAATCGAGAGTATGGTTGGTTGGCTGCAAATTTGGTAAGAGATGAGGCTTGAGTTATATACTTAAGTCTACTTCACTTTTCACCTGCAGGCGGGTGTTGGAATTCGAGTTTGAATTCTTGAATGTAGAGTAAGTGATCTTTACTTGAGGAATGAATGCCAAAAATATGAGTTCGCAAAAATCTGACCTAGTAAATTGATACATCTCATGCTCTGCTGTAGGTGCTGGACCAATTGTTGCGTGACAATTCATCATACAACATTTCTATTGGGTCCTTTATGTTGTTTGGCCAGTCTTCTTTGATGACGATTATGAGTAAGATGTCATCTTTGGTTCAAAAAATAAACAAAAGCTTTGCACATCGCTTTTACACACAAAATTAATTACTGAAATTAGAATGTTTGTTCGACCCGTGGCATTTTTTCAGTGTGTGGCTAGTGCTGATGTAAATACACCAAATCGTACCGCCAGACAACACCTCTCAATGCATGGTCGTGAGAGTGACAGTGGCGTTCCTGACAGAGCCTTCGAGGCACAAATATTCGTGAAATTCATGCCCACTTTAATTGTGCGAATGGCGGTGTTACGGCAATACTCGAGCAGAGCAGAGGAAGAGACAAGATCAGAATGTCGGTCTGTGGGACGTTTGAGCAATGGAGGTGGTAATGCAGATGCAGTAGATCTTACTCCTTTGGTCCCTCAAAATCACAAGAAAACGCTCTGGTTCAGTATTTATGATAAGGCAATAACAGTGTTTGTAAAAGCTGCGAACGATATTTGCTAGGAGTTAACGCCACTAGGAAGCGGAATGGGTACGAATAATGAATAAATGGGTAATGCAAAGGTAAATGCAGAGAAGTACTTGCCTTGATTAGGCAGACGACAGTATAGGAATCATCCCTTTGCACGAATAAATCCATGAGAGCAGCCTCTCAATGGCATAAAAGCAAAAGTGGTCATCATGTGACTTTACCAATTTGTACGGCTCCTCTATCCAAGTTGATCGAAGTGGGAAGGAGGCGCTCAAGTATCAACAACTGGTATGAGAAGAAAACATTCATATACTATTAGCCTAGACAGTCAAGCCTGACGGCCAATCGAGAAAAACCTAATAGAAGGTACGATTAAGCAACAATCCAAAATGGTCAACGCACTCTGCGTCTGATAGCAAATGCAGTCAAATCTCCTCCATCTGAGCATTATAATCGGCCACAGTGGATTAGCGAACTTTATGTTGCAGAGCACCGTTACTACCAATGCACTTAGCAGTAAAATTGGAAAGTGCATTGCATCCACTTAAAATTTGCGGCTCCATAATGATCTGACAGTTATGCTGCGTAAAATCAATGTGTAAAAAGGAAAAGGGTAATTGTCATCTCCACCAACTGATTTCTTTCACCACATTTTCACCTAGGCTTCAACAGCTACCAACAACACCCAACTGGTGATAAGCGAACGTGACTCCTGCAGAAGACTTGACTCTCTTGAGTAGTTTCATAGCCGGTTGATAATGTGTTAAGCAGACGTTCAATTCGCAGTAGGAAGATTCACACGATAAACTGCCATGCAACGATGAGATGACAAACTCCATGGTCAACAGTCGTAATGGTGGAGAAACCACATGACGTACGTCCATGTAACGTTTATGCCGCCGATATGTGCTTTACGCCTGCATTGACAGTACACTTCTGTGTCCCTCCTTTTGCGCGCAGCTACCATCAGTGTTGCTCACTCACCGACGCGGCAGGCATTCCCTGCACTGATGATTAGATCATCGTGAAACAGCAATGTGAAGAGCCTCTACTGAATGGCTACTACCCAAGTGCTACGATAGCTATGAGGAAAATACGCACTCAGTCTCATTGTCATCGAAGAATGGGTTGTCGCCTGATGTGAATTAGCAATCATTGCTGTGATTTATGAAGCTGCGATAAGAAATCATTAAAACCAAGACCAGATTGGACAAATTAGATGAAGGACGACTTTATTTGTGCTTAATATTTTGAGGAACGCTTGACTTTGTTTTTGAGAAAGTTATCTTATAATTCAGTCACAGTACAGTATTTCCTATGTAATGAAGCTGTAGTTGCAGTATGTAGCAGGGATGGGTGAGTGCCAAAAACAAAGGTCAAACTTTCTTCGTCAAAGGTAACAAATCGACCGTGGATGGTCTTCATTTGCAAAATTAAACTGTATGTAAAACCAATTAATTTCATTCGCCGTTCTCAGGGTTATTGCTTTTACACTGTTTTGTCTCGTACGTATGTTGTATTCTTTGTTATTTTAATCACGCTAACGACGGTGTAAGTGATGAAGGAAATACTTGCTTCCATTGAGCGTTAACAGTGGGTGATATTGGGCTTTCATTGTCCTACTGGAATCAGCAAAAAACTCAATGAGCTCACGAATCTTCTTTTTATTGATATATGCCTGGGTTTGTGATTTACAGTTTGTATTACGGAGGTATTTATCAAATAACTTAAAGGTCCTTTAGTTCTTCTAGGCAGAATTAAATTATTCGATGATCTTATGAATTGAGTAGGAGTCTGTCTATTTCTTCTAGTCGGAAGCTGCCATTCCTTCGTCCAAGACTGTTGTTCAACTCTTCGCTTACAGGAGGCGCTCTTCCACGTAGTCACTGACCAGCCTATACCCATATCAGTCTTCCTTAGAACAGCATCTAAATTAGACGGTGATATTCTCCGTAAGGGGTGTTAATAAAAGGTGCTTCTATGCTGCCTCTATGCATTCAAACAACCTTCCCGACAACTGCACACCTGGTGAGGGTAGTCAATTAGCTATCTAGGGGGCTGCAGTTAGACTCTGCCGAAAAATCACACTTTCTGGTAAGTAATCTGCTAGAACCGTCACCAGCAACCTAATCCGTTTTTTAATGTTTCACCACCAGCGTTATCCATAATATCTGCAAATTTCAAAAACACTGAGATATATGTAATCCAGTATATCTGCCTGTCAAAAGCCCACGCCAATAATCTAGCTCTAGCTTAGCCCATACAACGATTTGTTAATCGTAACAGTCAACACATCCATGCGTAATATTGTGCAGTCTATTCCCTCGCCCTCAAGAATACAGTAAGCTGCATGCAGACGAAGGGATGGCAAATGTAATCTGTAATATTTCAAGCAATCTTTGAGTTGGTCTTTGTAAAATAGCGGAAAGTGTGTAATGCCTGCTTCCCCCATTACCATAGCCAACTTTTTGAACTATGTCATGTGTTACAGTTATTGCTCCATCGGACTGAATAGCAGATTATTTTGTTTTCAGACAACTTATTCAAATGGCTGCCGATGGGCTTATCGTCATACCGTGTTTTCTCTTTACTGACTCGTTAGTGGTAAGCGATTACGACCAACAATATGCTCTATGGTATGCTGAATTTCGGATTTTTTTTTTCAGAAAGATAACCCACCAAGGTTTGAGGGGGATACCACAAACCTATGTTTTATTGGCTCGCTTTTTGTTCAACACAAGAAACACCCACCATCTCAAAACACACCTAAACGACCTATTTTTCATGCTTCATACATTTTCATGCTCTACGTTTCTACTACTATGTTGAAATAAAGTAGCAGACACTTTGCCTCCTCCAATTGTGGGATGGACGTCGGTCCATGCTAGCAGCGTTGTAGAACTTCTACACACTAGTAATGTGTGATATACGACAGCATTTCGCCTCATCATGCATTCGGAGAGGGCTAAAGACGTTCACTTGCACTTAAAGCAAAAAGCCAAAAACCATTGTTCATATATGATGGAAACAATTCAGGAGATAAATCCAACCGCCGGCTAAGTAAGAAACTGTTTTTTTTTAAGCCGCAAACAGGGACTTCGCATGAAAATTTTTAAGTGTTACAATTAGGTTTCACATGCTCTCTCCAAAATCTAAAAATAATATTAACTATATCAAGACGCACGTCTATTCTTGCAAACCTAAATTTGCATTACTTTCAATTTTTACGAAAATTGGTAGAAGCGATAAAACTATTCGCATTGCAAGCAGTTTATCATTCTTTCCACATCAAATAACCCAAGTACGTCTTCGGCGGCATTTACGAACCAATGAACATCGGGTTTGGTGCGGTAAGTGGGGCTTGTTTGCCGTTTGTATTAATGCGCCTAGGATTTCGGTTAATGTTTGGAGATTTTAAGTGCACATTTTTTCGACAGTAAATCATTGCGCGCAGGTCTAGATAGCTATTGTTGAGATCTTTATGGTCTCACAGTTTCTATAATACGCGTGTTTGAATACTTAAGTGCATTTGCGGAGTGAGTTCATCTGGCCAATGTGTTGTCTTTCTTTCATAGTAGTCTAGTCTCTTCTTTTTCTAGCGTTTTTAGCCGTCTTAAAGTTGTGGCGTTGCCGGTGCATAATTTACTTGCAAGGATAAGGCTGTTGAAATGAGAGGTTTACCACTTAAGGGGATTTGAATTCTTTTAGCAGAATCGGAGTTAACAGCCGAAGTTCTTCAGTAGTTTTTCGATGGAGTTGCAAAACTTTGATGGGAAAACTTGAAGCCTAGTCTTCCGTGTTACAAGTGTTAATGGG